TGTACATGCTAGCGTAAAAGACCGGATAATCTAGCCAATGTTGACAAAGGAGTCTGAATGATAGAGACTAGGAAAGATATAAACAACTACCATGACAACAGACATTACAATCCGATTAAGGCGACAAATTTTGAATTATTCCATCACAAGAGAATTAACCTCTAGAAATAGAAAACAGACGTCATTCGGACGGTAATTATCTTCCTATTTCTCAAAATTAAATCTGTAATGTCCGTCTGCCCTTTACAGTACGCCTGCCATTGTAGAAGACACCGTTTGTTTGTCCTCCGAAACGGCGGCCATCAACCAATTTCCATAAGTAGAAATCAATAGAAACACCGCGCATGCGTCGTGAAAGCTAGCGATGTCGTTACTACGTAGATCTTTTAATAAACGTCAGTCTAGTGGATGATCTGCACATGTTCGGGGAGTAAGTGATACATTAAGTGTGAAGTAAAATGAAATGGGGTTTAACGTCCTACTGTTCTGCTCCGAACTGGGCTAATGAAGACGGGCATACGCCATACAGTGTGCTATGAGGGAAATTTTGCCCGGGCAGCGGCGCTACAGCCTACTCTTATATCGAATTCCAACTGTCAAGTGATCTTTTACGTGCACGCCAATGTGTAAACCGGACATCGGTTTTTGTCCCTTCCGAACGACTATACTTTATCCCTTGTCAGGCCATCAGTCCTGCACCACTGACAAGGAGGAACCACGTAGGGACAGAGCCGTAAATAACTCAGAGCAACGAGGGAGGCTGGAAGTGTTCTCAGGGGTGCTGTAAAATTGACGGACAATGTATCTATTTTTTTAATGGTCGACAATTTTTTGATGGGGGGGGGGGGGCGAAACTTTTAGCAGGGGTAGGTTGGGGGGGGGGGGGGGACGAACTGAGCTACCTTGGCTCCCTACAATAAATAAGTGTTTCCCAGTTTATTAACTGCTATTACAAAGGGGATGGAACAGCCCGATCAAAAAATAGGTTGGGATGAAACAGACCGGGATGAAACCGTTTGGGGATAAATCAACCCGCACCCGTCTCAACAACTTTACTTCGGTAACGTTTGTTCTTTACAGGGAGTCGGTACAAAATATTATAGAATCTGAATCACCGTTGATTTGAGTAAAAAATGAAAGTTTTCTATTAGATTAAAGATACATTATGTAAGATTTAGATAAAGAGCTGACAGTTGTCCCTATAATATTTCAAAAATAGATAATGCAGAATGAATATATTGAAAATTTCATTCAAAATACTTAATTTTAAGCGAAGTTATCAATGGTTGTAGTTTTAACAAGATGTGTGCATAGATCGTAACCATCGTACTGGGCATTCGAGTCTTGGCCTCGCTTCTCCATTTTTAAATTAAAATCATTAAATGGCCGAGACGTTCTAATCTACATACAATCGGAGCTATCCGATGACATCGACAGTTGATTACGTTAATAAATATCATGACCTGGATTTCGTGAATAATGTTAATTAAAGAGGTCATGACCTGGATTTCGTGAATAATGTAAAGTAAACGGGGTCATGACCTGGATTTTGAGAATAAAGTACAGTAAAGAAGTAATGACCTGGATTTTGTGTTGATCGAGTGTAAGTAGGTCATGACCGGGATTACTAGTTGATCGAGACTACAGAGACAGATAATATTTTGTGACATTAAGCTGGTGTGTGGGATTCCGGAAGTAGGTTAATCACATGACTAATGGAGTATTTTTTGTCTTTATATCGGCCTCACAGCAGGGATTCAATTAATCAATAAGTCAATCGGCCATCATACCTGTATAAATACCATAATATAGCGTTTCACCTGCTACTAACTCGAACATAGATGGAGAGAGAGACATAGTCAGAGAGACATAGACAGAGAGACATAGAATGAGAGACACAGAGAGAGAGAGAGAGAGAGAGAGAGAGAGAGAGAGGGAGACAGAGAGAGAGAGACATACAGACAAAGATAGAGAGAGAGAGAGAGAGAGAGAGAGAGGGGGGGGGGAGAGAGAGGGGGTCCACCTGACACAAACTAGGTCATAACCGGACTAACTTATTTCAATAACTTGCATACTGTGATGGTCGTTAGTAGTAGGGGGGGGGGGGGGGCCGGGGGGACTGGAAGAAACCCCACAAGGCTGGATAGCCGACCCAAAGCCTTGTTACGTACATGCGGGGGATCAAAACTTAGCCACTTGACTCAGCTTTAGACCGTACGAACTAAAACACGGCCATCAACCCAATTGCTAATAAAGAAATGAAATGAAATGAAATGGCGTTTAACGTCGTACCTATATTTAAGTTATGTGTACCTAGACATTTTTACAGGTAAAACGGTAGATTTATAAATACACTCAACAGGACCAACAAGCCAACAGTGAGGCTGATGTCCCCCGCCGAAATCCCAAAATAAATAGATGACACATATTGATTGATTGCATTTATTTTTTTCAAAAGTATTGAGCAATCGAACTGTTTATCTATACTTTGTCTAAGCAGAAAATATTCACGATCAAACTCAGTTAAGGTTTTTGAAATACCTGGTTGTAAAACATACACTAAGTTTTATCACTCTCCGTCAGTTAGAATCCAAGTTATCTTGTCCCAAAACATCGACCAATGAAACTGCTTAGCTCTGCTTAGCTTTAGTGGGAAATGTTAATTATTGAACTCAGTCATCTAATGAACATCTACATCAAGTTTAAACATGCGACCTCAATTAGAAGGAGAGTTGTGATCCAAAGTCTCGGCCAATCAAATTGCTTATCACTCTGCTTACCCAAAACAGAAAATTCTCACTATCCATCCTAGTCAAGGTATTGATGTAATGAAACTATACACCAAGTTTCATCACTCTCACTTAATTAGAACTAAAGTCATCGTGTCACTGCTTACCGGATACCCTAAACAGAAGGTGGTCATCTTCGTACTGCATCAAGACATTCACCTAATAAACACATACACCAAGGTTGAACATTGTAGCTCAATTAGAAGGAGAGTTATTGTGTCCCAAAAAGTATGACGAACAGACAGACAGACGGACAGGCGGGGAACAATAGGTCTGTAGTCGATTTATTTCTTAAAGACACATTATTTAACGAGCTACATCTACCTATTGTAGGTCTTTCGTTTGGCTTCAGATGTTACATAAATTATTAATTAGACGTTTATTCACATGACAAGCCTATAATCATCTCCCTAGACCATTGGATGGCTTAGATATTTAATGGACTAGAACCGATCACCATTCTTTATTAAACCTCGACGATTTGTACTGAAGGCTTAAAACCATACAAGACGTATCTTCTATTTCATGACATAACTCGACCGCTATAGTCCAGTTTTGTTTGTAAATGACAAAATTTAATTACAAGTTAGGTATTGTATTTCCAAGTGGTTGTCATTCGGTATTACCTCGATGATTTGTATTGAGAGAGAGAAATAGAGAGAGAGAGAGAGATGGGGTTTAACATCCACTCGACACAAACTAGGACATTTCGGGACTAACATATGGTTTAATTTTATTTCAATAATTCGCTTGCGCGTAGGGGTTTAAATATATATGGCAAATTGACAATTAGTAACGACGAATACGTTCCGGACATTGCCCCCCAGTGTATATCCCAGTTCTATTACTAAATACCATTGAAACAATCCAGAATGAGTATGGACGGAGTTGTGGACATAGTTTACTCATTAGTACTAACGAGATCCGTTCACCAGTTATAGTAGTACTAACCAAACTAATAGATCATTAATAATATTAAACAGTTATAGTAGTACTAACCAAACTAATAGATCATTAATAATATTAAACAGTTATAGTAGTACTAACCATACTAATAAACAATTGTTCAGGCAACGAGTTTACAAAACGAGAGAGAGAGAGAGAGAGAGAGAGAGAGATAGAGAGAGAGAGAGAGAGAGAGGGAGAGAGAGAGATAAATGGGGTTTAACGTCTATTCGACAGAAACTAGGTAATTTCGGGACAAACACATGGTTCAATTTTATTTCAATAATTCGCTTGCGCGTAGGGGTCTTTAGCAGTGGGAGGAAACTGGAGGACCCGGAGAAAACCCACGAGGTTGGAAAGGCGACCCTTTTCCTTGTCACGCCAGTTGACTCAATGACAGACCCTATGATGCAACGCACGCGCGTAAAACATTCGGTCACCCAACCCCACAGTTAACAAAGCACTCTCAGACTTAAGTTGAGAATTGACTCAAAATTATTTGCCCTTTTTTAATTATTTTGTGTTTCTGGATCACAGTGATTGAAAGTTGAGTAAATTTTTAACTTAAGTCTAGGAGTGCTTTGTGAATCCGCGGCCTGGTAGAAGTAAATTGAAATAAAATGAAATGGAATTTAACGACCTGCTGCGACTCATCTAATGAAGACGGGCATACACCATACAGTGTGCTAGGAAGGACATGTTACCCGAACAGCGACACTACGGTCTACTCTTATATCGACTTCCAACTACCAAAGGATCTTTTACGTGCACGCCAATGTGTACAGGGGACCTTTGTTTTTCGTCCCATCCGAACGACTATACGTTGTGTCTTACCAGACCCTCTGTCCTGCATCACTGATATGGGGGAACCACGCCGGAAAATGTAAAAGAACATTATAAATATTATAAAAGAAGTAAATATTTGTGACCTAGAACTATTCATTTTCCTTTCATCTTAAACACAACATTCATCGGGTAATTTATGAGGAACATTTGACCAAACAGTGGTGTTGAATTACAACTGCCAGGGTTCCCTTTACGATCCGAAGAACTTGCCAAAAAGTTAATCTCGGCCAGTTTACTAACCGTTCATCTACCTGGGCAAACAATCAGCCTGGTGACAAGTCTCATGAACCCCTGTTTTAGCTCGTTAAGTTGACAGACCCCGCCCCGCAGCCCTATTTTAGCTCGTTAAGTTGACAGACCCCGCCCGAAATGTGAATTTCGTTCTGGTGGACTTGAAATAAACGGATATAAAGAACTTACCTGTAAAGGTATGAAACTATACTCAGATTATCCAGGTATATAGAGTCAAGTCAGGTAAACCGTCTATATCATAACACAGGTATTGATTTTACCTCTACCTTTGATGTTATACCGCCATCTATTGGTAGTATCTCCACTAATTATATATTAATAAAGTAAACACAGGCACGATCCCACACCCCACGACATCACTCAGTACATAAAGTTCATATAGGTAACAATTCTTGACACAGTAACAAATACAGGCACGATCCCAAACAGGGGCACGGTCCCAAACAGGGGAACGGCCCCAAACAGGGGAACGGTCCCAAACAGGGGCACGGTCCCACACTCTATAACACAAAGTTAATTTGTGGCACAATACTTGATAGACACGACCCTACATTCTACAAAATAAAGTTCATTTGGGGAACAATTCTTGACACAGTAACAAACAAGTTAATTTGTGGTACAATACTTGATAAACACGACCCTACACTTTACACCAGCGCCGGGTATGAACGTTCATTTATAGAACAATTTCTTGACACAGTAACAGGCAAGGTCCCACACTCTACCACACAAAGTTAATCAGTGGAACCGTTCTCGACAGACACGATCTCACAGTCTAATGAGGTACTTAGTTATAAACATTAATCTATCGAACAATTCTTGACAACAGATACGATCCTACATTCTACAAAATAAAGTTCATTTGGAGAACAGATCTTAATGGACACAGTCCCCACAGTCTCGATATATAATATTCAGTTATGGATCAATTTTGGATGCACTGACAACGTGAATATATCTTTATATCAATGGTGTGAACGTCCGATACACATGATGATTGGTATAAGGTGTTCTAGAGATGTCAGCATGAACTACCACGTGCACTTCACCTGTCATTAACAACAATTGACGTTTAAATTATAAGGTGTTCTAGAGATGCCAGCATACTCTGTGTTGTACACGACCCTAACGTTGTTATATTACCACTCACAATAGCTATCCACAATATACAATAGGAACCACGCACTTGTCACAATTAGTCAATGTTTAGAATAATGTGTTTTACTTCTCCGATCGAGTCTAGGATCAATTAACTTGATTCATTAGTCGTTTGTATTCAAAGTATCATTGAAGTGGTTAGTTGTGTTCTTAAAGGGCGTATAGCACTACTCTTTGGAACCTAAAATGGACGAAAATGGGTGAAATATAATATAATATAAATTGATTTAAATTCAAGTTTTACAAATTGTTATAGTTATCAATAATGTTCGGTGAAATACGTGAACAGTTCAAAATGAATGGTAGTAGCTCGCGTCTAGTACATTTGACATTTTACTTGGCTGAATGGGGGGGGGGGCGTAATGGTTAGCGTGTGCACGTTGTATTATAAGGTCTGTCATTGAGTCAACTGGCGTGGTTTCAATTCCCGGTTGTACGTGACAAGGAGTAGGGTCGGGTCGCCTGCCCAACCTCGTGGGTTTTATCCGGGTCCTCCGGTTACCCCGCGCTGCTAAAGACCCCTACGCGCATCCGAATTATTGAAATAAAATTGAATCACGTGTTAGTCCCGAAATGACCTAATTTGTGTGGAGTGGACGTCCCCCCCCCCATCTCTCTCCCTCTCTCAGCTCCAAAACACAGAATTTAAGCCGGGGTGGACGACTCTGTATAATATTGAAATGAAGAGCTTTAATCCCATTATGCTAGGTTGTCACTGTCGTACGATAGGGCAATCTGATTAAAACAAAGAGCCTATTTCGTTTCGTTTTTATAGTTCAAAATTTCGTTTTACTTGTCTTTACTACATGTAGTGTAGGCCATCGAAAGTATAAAAAACGAAACGAAATAATGATTTGTATTTTAATAGGATTGTCCTGAACATATTATAGTTTTAAGCAATGTCACTGTATATGCTGGGTTCCTAATATCGCGCGATGCGTTATGAAAGGACGGACTATCCCTATCTGGTACGTGCAGATACGTTCGGGTACGACTGACTTCACTATACGATAAGACCTAATAAGATCACCACGATTACTCTACGATTAAAACCTCGATTTCAATCATTATAGCACGAATCGTGATAGTTAGAACTTAGCATTATATTATATTAGATATTGTTTTACAGTCGCAAAGGATGCTAACTTTCGGTCAATTAATCCATTTTACTGGAGTTGATATTTGGTTACAATGTTTATTTCAATTGTATTATAATGTTGGTTATGTTAGATATTGTATCGGCGCTAATGAAGCGATATTGAAAACTTTGGTTATTCAATCTAAACGATATACCTTATACGACACAATGATAGTATCATTACTATTATTAGATATTCAGGGGCGGATCCAGGACTTTTTGCAGTCGGGGGTTTGCCCGGTTCTTGTTAAGGACATTTGACTGTTGACTATATGTGATGCCATCATCGTCTCCAAATTATGTAGGCATACATACACACTGGGCTTTTTAAAGTGAGAAATCCGATACTCCGTTTGACGTCAATTTTTGTTATGACTTAATATGGTCACTCTGTGATTAAATTTCATTGATGCAAAGCATTAATTGTGATCTCGGATGTGTCCATATCATTATCTCGCGCTTTCCATCCCACCATCTGATGATAAAGGACAGCACACCAGCGTGACAGCTTGTTCATAAAAGTGCAGTTTAAAAAAAAAATATAACTGACCTACCCCCTCTCATCCTTAATCCGCCCCTGATATTAAGAAACCTATTATTTAAAAAGCCCACGACACGTGAAAGCTCTTATATCATTAACCTATACAGTAAAAATAAAGTAGCCACCCTTTGTCGTTTGAAAACGTGTTGTAAGGTATCATCTTTCTGACAAATAAAGATGTTAATAGAGTTTCTACCATTATGAATTAATATGGTCACATTGATTCAAATAAAGATATTTACAGAGTTTCTACCATTATGATGGAACTATTGTGTAATATGGAGCTTGCAATGGAAATTCGTCACAATCACGTGTTCAAGATGGCGTTATAAATCACGAGACCCATCTTCATCATTCTTTTTAAAATTAATATTCCACATGATATTATTATATTTCAAGAAACCTGTTGATTTGGCTAAATCTATTTAAGTCCAGCTTAATTTTTGTCAAGGTCGCTGAGATGTAAATAAGGTTAGGGCACGTGATTGTTGGCCAGATTGTATGTTAGGTTTAAGAATTTGGGGGATAGGTTGAGTCTCCACATAAGCACTGACCTGGGATTAGTGCTAGCCCTGTTCACATCTCGTGACCTATGATGAAAAATCGAGCACTAATTAACCCTGTTGATTGCGACGCCTACCAGATTTCAAACATGACACGTTTTTATTTGGGAAGATGTCCACCGAAAGTGGTAAATATTTTTAAATCAACATTAGCTAGGTCTAGACCTATAGAATCAAACATCAAAGATCTGATTTAAGATTTTCTAATTATCGAATCTAATTATCAAAGATGAGATTTAAGACTATATTTTTCTAGTACAATCTAATTATAATTCTATGTTTAAGATCAGATTTCACTCGTGCAAAGTATAATTTCAATAATCTATCTTACCGTCTATAACTTACTGTGTTCTATCAGACTGACGTCACTGATTTGATGACGTTGCAAGTCAATTTATATCAACCAGAAAGATTATGATAAACTTGAGTTAAATATTGGGAGATGCTAATGGTAGATTGGTAAGCAGGTTGGGGAGGTTCGGGTGTTTCCGGAGTCCAAAATGGCCGATTTATATCAATAAGAATTTTTGGAAATACTAACCCGAACCCTAACCCTTTTCAGAAGACTGAACTTGGATCCAGTTTAACTTTTACCCCCTTAACAGGATTCGGATTAGGGTTCGGGTTAACATTCCCTAAAATACTTAGTTATATAAAGCGGCCATTTTGGACTCCGGAAATACCCGAACCTCCCCAACCGGCTTACAATTAGCCTGTCCCTTAAATATTCCCACAATTCGCCACCACCCCTTGACACGTACAAGAATGTGAATCAAGACTACGCCACTTGACTCAATGACAGAAATTATAATATAAATAACAATAAATGTCCAAAACACACCTAATCCCCTGACCCCCTTCTTGTGTTTACGGATTTGATTAAAACACAGATCCTATTTAGTTTCGTTTTTTTAATTCATAGTTCAAGATTTGGTTTTACTTGTCTTTACTACACTAGGATCTAGAAGAGTTGTTATATAACCCGCGTTCTGGGTGATGTAAAGGATTATTCGATGAAAAGGTTTGTTACGGCGAGTTGTTGGCGTGAGGTGCACGGAACTTTCGGTAAACCAATAGAAACGGCGACGCTGGTTGATTAATCAATGTCTGACGTCATAAGCTCAAAAAGCGTTCATATGACACCCGACACGACCTTCCACTACAATTGGACAGATCTTCATGTAGAGAAAGCCATCGAAAGTATAAAAAAAACAAACGAAGTATAGATCTATATTTTAATCAGATTGTGAGATCTACTGATTCGTTTTTTTAATCATTTATATGCCAATTTAATACACTGAAGTAGTTTCCACGCTCTACTTTATGATAAACGCTAACCGATCAATGAAACTGAGGAGGCTGTTAAATTATTTATTTAATGTATCGCTATTATTTAGTTTGATAGTCAAATCCTCGACTAGCTGGAACCTAAAAACCAAAATAAATCATCCATTACAATATTTAAAGGTGAATATTTTTTATAATTGGGGTAATCGTTAAATATCAGAGTTGAACTCTGGGAATGTTTGAGACACGACATGATAAATATTTATATTAGAACTGTTGCTAATGGTTTTAGTTTTATTTAACTAGTCGATGGATTTAATCTATAATAAGATTCTAAACAGTCAGGTCACAGAGTGAGAGAGGGAGAGAGAAAGATCGAGAGAGGGGGCAGAGAGAGAGAGATAGAGAGAGAGGTGAGAGAGAAGGGGAGAGAGAGAGTGGTGGGAGAGAGAGAGATAGAGAGAGGTGAGAGAGAGAGAGAGAGGGAGAGAGGGGGCAGAGAGAGAGAGGTGAGAGAGAAGGGGAGAGAGAGAGAGGGGGGGAGAGAGAGATAGAGAGAGAGATAGAGATAGAGAGGTGGGAGAGGGGGAGAGAGAGAGATAGGGAGGTGGGAGAGGGAGAGAGATAGAGAGAGAGGTGGGAGAGGGAGAGAGAGAGATAGAGAGAGAGGTGGGAGAGGGAGAGAGAGAGGGAGAGAGAGAGGTGGGAGGGGGAGAGAGAGAGGGAGAGAGCGAGATAGAGAGGGGTGGGAGAGGGAGAGAGAGAGAGGGAGAGAGCGAGATAGAGAGAGAGGTGGGAGAGGGAGAGAGAGAGATAGAGAGAGAGGTGGGAGAGGGAGAGAGAGAGGGAGAGAGAGAGGTGGGAGGGGGAGAGAGAGAGGGAGAGAGCGAGATAGAGAGGGGTGGGAGAGGGAGAGAGAGAGAGGGAGAGAGCGAGATAGAGAGAGAGGTGGGAGAGGGAGAGAGAAGGGGAGAGAGAGAGAGGTGGGAGAGAGAGAGAGGGATGAGAGAGGTGGGAGAGGGAGAGAGAGATGAGAGAGAGGGGAGAGAGAGAGAGGGAGAGGGAGAGAGAGAGGTGGGAGAGGGAGAGAGAGGGATAGAGAGAGGAGAGAGAAGGGGGGAGAGAGAGAGGGAGAGAGAGAGAGGGAAAAGGAGAGAGATAGAGAGAGAGGTGGGAGAGGGAGAGAGCGAGATAGAGAGGTGGGAGAGAGAGAGAGAGAGAGATAAAGAGAGAGGAGAGAGGGGACAGAGAGAGAGAGAGATAGAGAGAGAGGTGAGAGAGAAGGGGAGAGAGAGAGAGGGGGAGGGAGAGAGATAGAGAGAGGTGAGAGAGAGAGGGAGAGGGAGAGAGGGGGCAGAGAGAGAGGTGAGAGAGAAGGGGAGAGAGAGAGGGGGAGAGAGAGAGAGAGAGAGATAGAGAGAGAGGTGGGAGAGGGAGAGAGAGAGATAGAGAGAGAGGTGGGAGAGGGAGAGGGAGAGAGAGAGAGATAGAGAGAGAGGTGGGAGAGGGAGAGAGCGAGATAGAGAGGTGGGAGAGAGAGAGAGAGAGAGATAAAGAGAGAGGAGAGAGGGGGCAGAGAGAGAGAGAGATAGAGAGAGAGGTGAGAGAGAAGGGGAGAGAGAGAGAGGGGGAGGGAGAGAGATAGAGAGAGGTGAGAGAGAGAGGGAGAGGGAGAGAGGGGGCAGAGAGAGAGGTGAGAGAGAAGGGGAGAGAGAGAGGGGGAGAGAGAGAGAGAGAGAGAGATAGAGAGAGAGGTGGGAGAGGGAGAGAGAGAGATAGAGAGAGAGGTGGGAGAGGGAGAGGGAGAGAGAGAGAGATAGAGAGAGAGGTGGGAGAGGGAGAGAGATAGAGAGAGAGGTGGGAGAGGGAGAGAGAAGGGGAGAGAGAGAGAGGTGGGAGAGGGAGAGAGAGAGAGGGATGAGAGAGGTGGGAGAGGGAGAGAGAGATGAGAGAGAGGGGAGAGAGAGAGAGGGAGAGGGAGAGAGAGAGGTGGGAGAGGGAGAGAGAGAGATAGAGAGAGGGAGAGAGAAGGGGAGAGAGAGAGAGAGGGAGAGAGAGAGGGAAAGGGAGAGAGATAGAGAGAGATGGGAGAGGGAGAGAGGTGGGAGAGAGAGAGAGGGAGAGAGAAGGGGAGAGAGAGAGAGGGAGGGAGAGAGAGAGGGAGAGGGAGAGAGATAGAGAGAGAGGTGGGAGAGGGAGAGAGAAGGGGAGAGAGGGGGAGCGAGAGAGCGGGGGGGAGTAACAAACTAGGTCATTTCGAGACTACCATATTATTAGCAGACGTTTGGATTATATAGACCTGTACTTAGTCTATGAGAGAGAGATGGGTGGGGGGAGATGGGGGAGGGGCATGGCCGGTATGTCCACCCCCAAAAAGAACGTTGATATGTCCGCCCCCCTCCCCAAAAAAACGTGTATAGTTCAACTTTGTCTAGTGTGGTTAAAGATCAAAAATATCCGAATATTTAAGTCATGTTCTATTCTTCTTAACAATTTTGAGTTAGGTTTTGAATTACACATTTTGCTTTCGTTTTGCCATGTTTACTAATGATGACAGAGCTTCTATCCATTGTCTGTTAAAGTCACGGTGGTTCGCATAAGCGTACGAGCTGATTTTCCAGAGGGGTGGGGGCCATTTTTGCCCAACAAATACGGCGACAGCGCCCAAAAAATGAGCCTACATAACTTTATCAGGTAGTGCCCGATTGGCAAGTATATAGCGCCTAGTGGAGCGAATTTTCCGGAACCCTAGTTTGAGTTCGAGAACTACACACCCTGAATCAAAATCAGAATTGTGGGATTATCTGAACCTCTGAACTCCGGTTGGAAATGCATTACCCTACCCGGATTAAGATCCCGGATTTCGGGCACTTCATTTTGCGGGATGGGATCATTTTCATATTTTCTTTTTATATCCACTAAAATTTTATTTTTTTCACCATTCGACCACTGCCCGATCGTTGATGATCGCCCCCCAAAAAACCTGTTTTGCTCCACCAAATAAGTATAATCCCTAGTATCCGAATAAAGGGTCAGTAATCACTGATGAAGGTGAACACGGCGGATTAAGTCCTGGTCTCTTAGAACCTTAAAAGATGGAATTAAATAATTTTAATTTCCAGGACCCTAAAGTGTGTGAAGTAACCCACGTTCACCAGAACTGTAAGGTAATGCTCTGTTTATGGTTTCTTTGCAATGTGATTTAAATACCGATCTTTGTTTTAATCAGATTCGGTTCTTTGTTTTACGAGACCCTCGGGGTCGATGTCAGAACAACGAAAGTTTTATGTCAATCTGATTATAGTTCAAAATTTCGTTTTACTACACTAGGATCTGGAATAGTTGTTTTTTTAACCCGCGGGGAGTTGGATGGCCGAATGGTTAGCACGCGCGCGCTGTATCATACGGTCTGTCATTGAGTCAACTGGCGGGGTTTCGATTCCCCGGTTGTACGTGACAAGGAGTAGAATCGCCTGTCCAACCTCGTGGGTTTTCTCCGGGTCCTCCGCTTTCATCCCACTGCTAAAGACCCCTACGCGCAAGCGAATTATAGAAATAAAATTGTCCCGAAATGACCTAGTTTGTGTCGAGTGGACGTTAAACCCCATTTCTCTCTCTCTCTCTCTCTCTCTCTCTCTCTCTCTCTCTCTCTCTTTAACCCGCCTTCTGTTGATGTGAGGGATAAGCCAATGAAACGGTCTGTTATGGTGATTTTTTTGGCGTGAGATGCAGAGAACTCTTGGTAGGCCACTAGAAACATAAAAGCTGATTGGTTAATCAAATATCTGACGTCATAGAGTCAAAAGCCGCTCGTATGACCTCTGACGGGGCCTTCAACTACAACCGGCCAGATCTTTATTTAGTGTAGGCCATCGAAAGTATAAAAAAACGAAATTTTAAGCAGATTGGTTTTATATACGATCGTCTTCAAAAGTTTGCAGGAAACCAGTGTAAACAACGCTACACATGACTGTTTCGCCTGGTTTCACGTGGCTCAGTAGACAAGGTGCTGGTTTTCGCTTGTCAGATGTTTGGAATGAAGCGCCTGTTGTTACGATGGGACCACACACCGCGGTTCACACGTGTAAAAAATCTTGACAGAGGGAGTTGAATGCAGTTTCCCCTCTTAGCCCACTGCATGGCTGTGTCCATCTTTATTACCTCCTGTTGGTACGGAAAGATAGAGCTTTAAACTCCAGGAATTGATTCACATACCCGTGGGAGTAACTCGCCTGTTATAGAAATGTTGGCATGTTACATAGATCAAAGACAGTGGACTCCAAGATACCTGTCGACCATAGGCCAATCTCCTATTTTACCTATTGGTAAATCCGGCTCTGGTTCTACCCCATTACATACCATTACTTTTTGTTTCACATAAAGCTATAGACGATATTTCTGACTTTTAGATGAAGAGGGGGAGGGAGGGAAGGGTGGCGGGGGATGGGGATTCTTACCTGTATTTAAAAGTATCAGCAACAATACCATCTATCTAGGTGTTGAGCACTTAACGTCAAGTTTAACGTCTTCTCCACAACTGTTGTACGTTATCTCCACAGAAGACTAAATTTATCACAACACGACTCTATTAATAAGTCTTTCTATCAATCAGCGATAAGCCGTACCTTCTAATACATGTTTCTGTGAATCAGCGGGCACCTGTAATAATATCAACTGTACGGGACGATGACATCCACGAGATTAACCTACGTTTTATACTTCCAATAAACTACATCAATATATTCCTTTATCACACAAGAGACGTGACATTCATTCAGAACACACCGGTTATACATCGTTTATTAACGTAAGGTATAATTCTCCGCGTGTCACCGAATATTGATTGACTGACACGATAGTTGGCGCATTATGTTTTTAAGTATTGCTTATTAATAGGCAATAACAATTCCAGGGTATCGTGATTATAGACTATTATTATGTTGTATAGAGATGGGAGAATGTGGCATGGAGAATTTCCCGCCGTAGTTTCCTCGTGTTGGTGGTGCAAGAAGGAGGGTTGACATTGGCGTGCTCGTAAAAGAGAGAGAGAGAGAGGGGGGGGGGGGGAGAGACAGAGAGATGGGGTTTAACGTCCTCGACACAGACTAGGGTCGCCTGTCCAACCTCGTGGGTTCTCTCCGGGTCCTCTGGTTTCCTCCCACTGCTAAAGACCCCTACACGCAAGCGAATTATTGAAATAAAATAGAATCATATGTCAGTGCCAAAACGACCTAGTTTGTGTCGAGTGGACGTTAAACCCCATTTCTCTCTCTCTCTCTCTCTCTCTCTCTCTCTCTCTCTCTCAATAAAAATCGTCGAGGTAATACCGAATGACAACCACTTGGAAATACAATACCTAACTTTTGATTAAATTTTGTCATTTACAAACAAAACTGGATTATAGCGGTCGAGTTATACTATGAAACAGAAGATACGTCTTGTATGGTTTAGAGTTTTCGGTACAAATCGTCGAGCTAATGGCTAATGGCAACCCTTCGATTCTACAGGGGTGTAATTAAAATGGCGAATGGCAACCCTTCGGATCTACAGGGATGTGATTGAAATTTTGATCAATATGGGCAATCAAAAAAAGTATTAACGTGCTCGCTCTCTATCTGGGAAGACAGAAGATACGTATTGTATGGTTTCACATTTTCAGTACAAATCGACGAGGTAATACCGAGTGACAATCATTCGGTGAATACACAAACTTGAATTAAGATTTTGTCTGTAAAAAAAAACTTTATTAAAGTGGTCGAATTCTATCAGGAAACATAAAATAGGTATGGTATGGTTTCACGCCTCCAGTACAAATAGCCGAGGTAATGGCGAGTGACAAACCTTCGATAAATACACACTTCAATTAAAGTTTCATCAATAAAAATACCGTATTAAAGTGGTCGAGTTCTATTAAGAAACAAAAGATTCGTATTGTATTTAATAAAATCCTTTCTTTAAATGTTGTCAATCATTCTATTCTGTCATAAACTCAGCAGGCGTCATACGATCAATACGTGGTTTAATTTCCGGTGTTTGTTGAAGCAGTGTGTAGAACTATCGACGTACATGTAGAAAACTCGGTTTTATTTCCATATTAATTAACAAAATAAATTGAGTAGATAGTTTGTCTTTTATAATTGTTTATCCATATTCTATAAGTTTCCTTAACGTTTCACTTGTTGGGGGATGGGGGATCGAATGGATAAGGAGTGCGCGTTGGATCAGAAGGTCTGTCATTGAGTCAAGTTGGGTGGTTTCGATTTTCCCCTTGTACGTGACAAGGAGCAGGGTCGTCTGTCCAACCCCGTGGGGTTTCTCCGAGTCCTTCAGTTTCCTCCCACTGCTAAAGACCCCTACGCGCAAGCGAACTATTGTTCCCCGACGTACCTTAAACGGGGGAGAGATAAATGGGGTTTAACGTCCACTAGAAACAACCGGGTCATTTCGGGACTAACATATGGTTTAATTTTATTTCAATAGTTCGCTTGTGCGTAGGGTCTTTAGCAGTGGGAGGAAACTGAAGGACCCGGAGAAACCCCACGGGGTTTGACAGGCGACCCTACTCCTTGTCACGTACAACCGGGGATTCGAAACCACACCAGTTGACTCAATGACAGGCCTGATGATACAGCGTGCACGTGCTAACCATTCGGACATCCAAACCCCTACGTACCTTAAACTACCTCCTTGTCCGATATAATGGAGGTCGCACATTATACATTATTTCCATAAGCTTACTTACAGTCTCATGACCCCAATTCTTTACACCAAAGATGAAAATAAAAATAAAATTTAAAACTATTAGTCTTTATCTTAGTCACAATGTTCTCAGAAAAAAGGGACATAACTCTGGTCGATTAGATCGCGGAATTCTGAATATCGACCGGGATCCTACTCCCACGACCAAAATGCTTCACACCAAATTTGAAATAAATTCGCGAACAAATGTAGATCTAGCTCGTTCATAAGCCACGTAGCTGACAGACCTATGGGCGGACCGACAAATTGACGGGTGGACAATGTGACGACATAATATGACCGGCGTATAAGAAGTGGTCAAGGTATAGGATGCTGGTTCTAGCCGGGGAAGCTTACATCCTGGGCGGGTGACTTATTTAGTGCTAGACTGGTTACTAGTTAAATACGCCTGTGGATGGCTTAAAGGGGTGGCCGGAAATCCAAACACCCCCACGGACCACTACAATATGAACAATTTGGTTGGTTTATAAATCGAGCTACGAGTGATGTGAGTATTTTACTGGCTGGTAGTTTTCACGACTGTTCACACTAACCAACCGATAATAAAATCAATTATCCATGGTTTAAAATCTTTTTATAAACTTTATTATTGATATTTTGATACAATGTACGAGTTTCGAAATAATCTGAATCTGAATCTGAATCTGAAGGGTTACGTTGAAGCGACCAATTCTGGCTTTCATTCAACGGGGGAGGAGTGCGCTATTAGATGTCACTCGTAGCCACTAGTGTTTTGAAGCGCTTGATGGTATCTGCTTTCACAACACTATCGCTAAGTCTATTCCACTCTAATAGAGTTCTTGGGAAGAATGAATGTTTGTAATTGACACTTTTAGTTGGAATAATGTCGAAACACTTGCTATTGTTGTTAACTGAATTTAGTACAATGTTAGTATGTGTAAAGTCTTCAAATTTTTTAGCTCTGATAGAACGTATTACTCTCTGAGATTTCAGGTAGTGCTCAATATTAATGGCCGGCACGTGCCCTTCCACCACCTTGTATAAGAAGGTCAATCTCTGGTGACGTCTTCTTTCTTGGAGAGTGGGTAGCTCCAGATCCTTCAACATGGAAGATACACAGCGTTCTTCTCTTGATCGGTAGTCCTTCTTTATGAATCGGACAGCAGATCTCTGGACGCGTTCGAGCTTGTCAATATCTCTTTGGAGATAGGGGTCCCAGATGATGCTGGCGTATTCTAGCCGTGACCGTACAAGTGCTAAGTAGGCATTCTTCCTGCAGGATAACTGGCAGTGACGGAGATTTCTTCTGATGAATCGAAGCGTCGAGTTCGCTTTCTTGGTGATGTTGGTGATATGAGTCTTCCACGTCAGATCATCCGAGAAAGTAACGCCGAGATAAGGGTTGTCCTGGACTTGTTGTAGTATTGTGGTCCCGATGGTGTAGAAATGACTGCTCTTATTTCTCGAGCTGAGTAGGTAGCACTTCTTAGCATTGACCTTCATTCCCCAGTCGTCTGCCCATGTTTGGAGGTTGTTAAGGTCTTCTTGTAAAATGTGATGGTCCTTGGATGATTTGATGGGTCGATAAAGGAGACAATCATCTGCGAAGAGTCGAATGTGAGACTGGACTTTGTCCGGAATGTCATTGATGTGGCATAAGAACAATAGAGGTCCTAGGACGGTACCTTGAGGGACACCTGATCCAACTTCAACGTGACGAGACTTCTCCCCTTCAACCACTACACACATTTCTCGTTGTGTCAGGAAGTTTGTAATCCAGTCGAGCAGCTGGCCACGTATACCGTAGTTGTCTAGCTTCTGTAGTAGACGCTTGTGGGGCACAGTGTCGAACGCCTTGCTGAAGTCGAGGATGATGGTGTCTACCTGGAGATTCTTGTCATAGTAGTTAAGCAGATCGTGTGCCGTAACGACTAGTTGTGACTCGCAGGAGTAGCCTGACCGAAATCCATGGTTGAGGGATGTTAGGACGTTGTTGTTGTCGAGGTGGTTCAGCATGTGATGGCAGATGATGTGTTCTAACAGCTTGGACAGTACACGTGTAAGTGAGACAGGTCTGTAATTCTCCGGGGCATGACGATCCCCCTTCTTGAAAACTGGGGCTATGTTGGCATTCCTCCAGTCCTTGGGTAGCTCTCCGGTGTCAATAGATTTCTGAAATATCACAGTAACTGCAGGTGTAGCCTCTATATGGCACTCTTGTAGGACCCTGTTAGGTAGTTGGTCTGGGCCTGCCGCTTTAGTTACTTTGATGTTCTTGAGAAGTTTCCTGACTCCGTCTTCTTTGATGTGGAGAGTTGGGATGTCGTTTACCACGTGGCCGCTGAGAGTTGGAGTATTACAGTTGTCTGGGTCTTTAGAGAAGACTGATTGGAACTGTTGGAGCAGGATGTCAGCTTTGTCCTTGCTGTTAGATATCAAGTTGCCATGGTCCTTGAGTGGAGCTATGTCGATGTTGTCTTCCTTACGGGACTTGACGTAGTTCCAAAAAGGTTTAGTGTTGTTGGTCTGCAGCCCTTCATCAATGATGTTGTTGATGTGGGTCCATTCTGCCTTCCTGAGGGTTCTTTTGCATTCTCGTTGGCATTGTCTGTAAAGTGTCCAATTGTTGGTCTTACAAGCTTGCTTGAAGAGTCTTGCCTTACGACGGAGTAATCTTTTGACGGGTCTCGTGATCCAAGGTGTTCGGTTGTTAGACGATTTCATTTTCGATGGGATATAGGTATCAATGGCAGTTGAGAGTTTGGTTTTGAAGGTGTCCCATAGTTCGTGTACACTTGCGCCGTTCCTATACAGTTGGACGATGTCGGTAGAGATGTAGCAGATGTTGGTCTTGAGGTCTTGCCAGTTAGATTTGGAAAAGATGTAAGCTTTACGTGGTTTCTGCTTGGCGTAGTATGGTTTTGTGTCGGAGTCGGCAACGACGATATCATGATCGGATATACCAGGTGCGTTGGACGAAGACTTGATTAGAGAAGGGTTTGTTGTGAAGACGAGGTCAAGTAGGTTGTTCTCTCGTGTAGGTTTATCATGAA